AATTCAACCGTCTCTCACATTAACTCCATTACTAATAGAATCTGGATCAGGTTTAAAATAGATGCTTCCATTGAAAAAGCTGGTTTCAGAGCTGTTTATCAAGTAGGTAAGGAAACTTATGCCTTACTTTCAAAATATCTAATTTGCCTGATAGTAACATCTTAATTTCTTGAAATAATATTGTCATTTTATGTCCTCAAGTTTCAAGAAAAAAATTCTCATAGAAATGTCACGTTACCTGTGATATCATGGGAGCTGAAATCTAGTTCTGTGATCATTTATCTCCTTAGGCAAAGTTAGAATTTGCAATAAAGTCAGGACAAGAATAATTTATCTCTGGACAAACATTAATGTTATTTTCATGTTTATAGCTTGTGGAGGTGAATTAACTGGAGAAGGGGTCATTCGCTCTCCTTTCTATCCTAATGTGTATCCTGGAGAAAGGATATGTAGATGGACCATCCACCAACCCCAAAGCCAAGTAGTTCTTCTCAATTTCACTGGCTTTGAAATTGGAAATTCTACCCATTGTGATACAGATTATATTGAGGTAAGAGAAAACACCTTTGAAAAATTGTATTTGGTTGTAAATTGTTACAAAATATTGTGTTAGTTTATCCTCAGGTCAGTTACATGATTTGTACAGTAGCAATATCTGTGATAAATATAGATGCAGAAATCTTCAACAAAATACTAGCAAACCAAATTCAGCAGTTTATAAGGATTGTACAGTATTTCAGAGTTTATCCCAGGAATGTAAGGGTGGTTTATCATGCAAAAATAATGTAATATATGGTATCAATGGAATAAAGTACAAAATTCACATCATTATCTCAATATATGCAGAAAAAGCATTTCACAGAAATCCAACACCTTTTCATGATAAAAACAATCAACAAACTAGGAATAGAAGGGAACTTCCTTAACCTGATGAAAAACCAAACCAAACTTGTTGCTGTTGGGTCAATTCCGACTCATAGTGACCCTATAGGACAGAGTAGAGCTGGCCTGTAGGGTGTCCAAGGAGCAGCTGGTGGATTCAAACTGCCGACATTTTGGTTAGCAGAAGAGCCCTTAACCCTGCACCACCAGGGCTCCAACCTGATGAAGGGCATCTACAGAAACTCACAGCTAGCATTATATTTAAGGATGAAGACTGAATGCAAGACAAGAATGTCCATTCTCACAATTTCTAGTCAACATTATACTGGAAGTTCTAGCAAGGGCAATGAGGCAAGGAAAAGAGATAAAATGCATCCAGATTGGAAAGAAAAGTAAAATTATCTCTATTTACAGATAACATGATCTTGTGTATAGAAAATCATAAGAATTAACATGCACACAGAAAAAAAAAACCTGTTAAAACTAATAAACGAGTTCAGCAAAGTTGCAGGATACAAGATCAATGTCTGAAAATCAATTGTTTTTCTATACACTACAAGAAATAATTAAAAAATGGAATCAAGGAAACAATTCCATTTATAATAGCATCAAAAAGAATAAAATACTAAGGAATAAATTTAATAAAAGAAGTGCAAAACTTGTACTTTGAAAAGTACAAAACATAATTGAAGGAAATTAAAGGAGACCTAAATAAATGGAAAGACATCTCCTGTTCATGTTAAAATGACAGTACTCCCCAAATTGATCTACATATTCAATTTAATCTCTGTCAAAATTCTAAGTGTTTTTTAAAGATAGAAGTTTTCAAACTGATCCTAAAGTTCATATGAATACATAAGAGAACCAGAATAGCCAAAACAATCCTAAAAAAGAGATCAAACTTGGAGGACTCACACTTCCCAATTTCAATACTTACAGCAAAGTTACAGTAATCAAGACAGTATATTATTGGCATAAGGATATAAATATAGATCAATGGAACAAAATTAAGAGTCCAGAAATAAACCCATATATTTATGGTCAATTGAATTTGAAAGGATGTCTAGACATTTCAATGAGGAAAAATAGTCTTTTTCACAAATGATATGGAAACAACAGATACCAATATGCACAACATGAAGTTGGATCATTTCCTTATATATCCCAAAATTAAGTCAAAATGGATCATAGACCTAAATGTAAGAGCTAATACTATAAAACTCTTAGGAGAAAAGATAGGAGTAAATCTTTATAACCTTGGGTTAGGTAAAGCCTTCTTAGCTATGACACCAAAAGCACAAAAAAAAAAAGGAAAATCGGACTTCATTTAAATTAAAAACTATTGTGCTACAAATTATACCATTAAGAAAGTGAAAGGAAAACCCACACAATGGGAGAAAATACTTGAAAATCATATATTTGATAAGGGTCTTGTATCCACAATACATAAAGAACTCTTACAACTCAATAATAAAAAGTTAATTAACCGAATTTAAAAATGGGCAAATATTTGAATTTCTGTAAAGGATATATACAAATTACCAATAAGCCCATGAAAAGATGTTTAACATCATCAAAAAAAAAAAATTAAAACCAGTTGCTGTTGAGTTGATTTCAACTCACGGTGACCTCATGTGTGTTAGAGTAGAACTGTGCTCTACAGGATTTTCAATGGCTGTGATCTTTCAGAAATAGATAGCTAGGCCATTCTTCCAAGATGCTTCTGGGTGGGCTCGAACCACCAACTTTTTGGTTAGTAGCTGAGCATTTAACCATTTGCACTACCCAGGGACTCCTTCAAAATCATTAGCCGTCAGGAAAATGCAAATCAAACTATGAGGTTAGGTATGATGTCAAAAATACAAGTAACAAAAGAAAAAATAGAGAAATTGGACTTCATCAAAATTTAAAACTTCCTCACTGCTGTCAAGAAAGTGAAAAGACAACCCACAGAATGGGAGAAAATTTTTTTTTGCAAATTACGTACCTGATGAAGGATTTCTTTCCAGAATATATAAAGAATTTTTGTAACAAAAATAAGAAGACAAATAACTCAATCAAAAATAAAGAATATACCGTATTTTTACACAAATAACATGCACGTTTCTACGTTTGCCAGCCACACTTTCGCTCCGTAAGGTATTTTTGTAAGCAAACTATGCTAACTTTTTATTTTTTTACAGAAATATGTAAAAAAAAAAAATTGGCATAGCAGTGCTTACAAAAATACCTGGCAGCGGGAGGGCGTGTTTGGCAAACAAACATAGAAGGTGCACGTTATTTGTGTAAAAATACGGTAAACAGACATTTCTTCAAAGAATACAAATAAATGGCCAATAAGCACACGAAAAAATGCTTAACATGATTAGTCATCATGGTAATGCAAATCAAAACAACAGTGAGACACCACTTCATAGCCACTAGCGTAGGTATAATGAAAAACTCCGATAATGGCAAATGTTGGCAAGGATGTGGAGAAAACGAAACCCTCATGCACTGCTGGTGGGAATGTAAACTGGCACAGCTTTGGAAAGCAGTCGGGCAGCTCCTCAAAAAGTTAAACATAGACTTACCAGTTGATCCAGCAACTCCATTCCTAGATATGTACTCAAGAGAAATGAAAATACATGCCCATACTAAAACTTGGACACGATTGTTCATAGTAGCATTATTCAAAATAGTCAAAATGTGGAAACAACCCAATTGTCCAGCAATAGATGAATGAAACAAAACAAAATGAAACATTGTATAACTATGCAATGGAATATTATTTGGCCATAAAAAGGAATGAAATACTGATACATGCTACAACATGGATGGACTTTGAAAACATTATGCTAAGTGAAGAAAGCTAGTCACAAAAGAACACATATTATATTATTCCATCTATAGGAAATGCCCAGAATAGGCAAACCTGTAGAGACAAAGAATTTCTTTTTGAGGTGATGAAAATGTTTTAAAATTGATTGTAGTGACGGTTGCACAAGTCTATAAATACACTGAAAACCATTGAATTGTATACTTTAAATGGATGATTGCATGGTACATGAATTATTGCACAATAAAGCTATCAAAAAATAAAAAAGTGGTTTGAAATGTACAATAATAATAATAATAGCAATAATAATCATCAGGATAAATGTTCATACACCCCTTTCTCAAAAATTCTAAGGTAGAAACTCCTTAACTACATACTTTGGACTATATATCATATATTTCATACACTATTTTATTATATAACTTTTAATATCTTAAGATTAGCAAGCTTCAAATACTATGAAATCTCAGTAATTATGCTTTTTTAATGACCACATTATTCTGTCAATTTTTGTGTTTTCTGAATTTGAGGAATGCCTGATATTTTCTCATTTGCTATTGCTATCTAATAAAAATATTTCAAAAACAATTATTCTTGATGCAGTTTTCAAAATTAGATATTTAACAAATAAACTTGAATATATCTTCTTTTATTTTAGATTGGTAGCAGTTCCATTTTGGGTTCTCCTGAAAATGAAAAGTATTGTGGCACAGATGTACCTTCACTTATAACATCTGTATATAATTTTCAATACGTCACATTCGTGAAAAGTTCTTCTACTCAAAATCATGGTTTCATGGCCAGATTCAGTACTGCGGATTTAGGTGAGAGATTTTCTCTTTCTCTTGGTTTGCCTCTTGGGCTAGTAACGGAATGAGTAGGCACTGATAAGAAATTATTACAAAAAATCATCACCCCTGAAAATTTTCAAAGTACGTTCAAAGGCAAAGAAAATATATATTTCCTAATCAACATCTACCCAGCAGCAGTCTGCCCATTTGTCAGAGTGGTGGTGCATGTCATTAGATCCTGGAAGCTATGGCATTGGTCTCAAACACCAAAAGGATCACTCCTGGTGGACAGGTTTCAATGGAACTTCAAGACTAAGATAGACTAGGAAGAATGGCCTGGTGATCTACTTCCAAAAATTAGCCAATGAAACCCTATGGATCACAACAAAACATTGTCCGACTTGCTTACTTTGGACAAGTCATTCGGAGAGATCAATCATTGCAGGAGAACATAGTGTTTGGTAAAGTAGAGGGCCAGTGAGGGCAAGGGAAACCCTCAATGAGATGGATTGGCACAATAGCCACAACGATGGACTTGAACGTACTGGCGATTGTGAGGATGACATAAGACCAGGCAATGTTTTGTTCTGTTGTACATATGGCTGCCATGAGTCAGAGTCCACTAGAGGACAGTTAACAACAACAACAATCAACATCTATACGGATAGTTAATTGGAGTCTAACAGTTAATAAAAGAAAAGCTAAGTTATCTTTAGTGGCATATAAGGAACAAAAATTTTTTTCTTGAATGCTTAAGAGGTTTTGATCAGATGAATTTATTCTGAAATTCAGGGAGTTTGTTGGTAACTTGTTGTAACAGTTATTATTATTTTATTTCAACAGCGTGTGGAAAAATTTTTACAGAGTCAGCAGGAACCATTCAAAGTCCTGGCCATCCAAACATCTATCCCCATGGTATCAACTGTACCTGGCATGTATTAGTCCAATCTGGCCACCTGATTCGTTTGTCATTCAAAAAATTTCATCTGGAGTTTCATTACAATTGCACAAATGATTATCTGGAAGTTTATGACACTGGCTCTGGGACCTCTCTTGGACGGTAAGGTTTTTGTTGTTGTTTCTTTTTAAAACACAAAACCTTCCTGCTTTCTTGCTTCCCTGCTTCAGTGAAGGTTGTCAAAGTCCAGTCACGCTGTATCATAAAAACTAGGTGAAAACATCGTGCTTTTTAATGATAATTTCTGTTGCTGAAGATGATCAAGTTATATCACTAACTCCTTCTTCCTGGCCTTTAGTAATTTGTTAAGTTGATATCTAGAGCTAGATCTATCTGTATCTCCACATCCATAAAACCATCGCCAAAATCAATATAATGCACATATCCATCACCCCCAAAACTTTCTTCCTGCCCATTAGAATTTCTTCTTTTTGCCTGTCATCCTTATCTGAAGAAAACCACTTATCTTAGCTATTTTCTATCATTATAGATAAATTTGCATTTTCTAGAATTGCATAAAAATTGAATCATACTATATGTACTCTTTTTTTGGGGGAATCTGGCTTTTCTCAATCAGCATAATTATTTTGAGATTCATCTATGTTGTAAGGTATATCAAGAGTTGTTGTTGTTAGGTGCCGTCGAGTCGGTTCTGACTCATAGCTACCCTATATACAACAGAACGAAACACTGTCTGGTCCTGTGCCATGCTCATAATTACTGTTTATGCTTGAGCCCACTGTTGCAGCCAGTGTGTCAATCCATCTTATTAAGGGTCTTCCTCTTTTTTGCTGACCCTCTACCAAGCATGATGTCCTTCTCCAGGGACTCTCCCTCCTGATAACATCTTGTATATTTATCAGTAGTATTTCATTGTATGGATGTATCACCATTTCTTTATTCACCTGTTGATGAACATTTGCATTATTTCCAGTTTTTGGCTATTACAGATGAAGCTGTTATGAACATTCACATATACTATTTTATATGAACATAAGCTTTCATTTCTCTTAAATAAATACCTAGGACTAGAATGACTGGGTTATATTGTAGGCATATGTTTACCTTTTTAAGAAACTACCAAAATATTTTCCAAAGTTGTACCATTTTACATTTCCACAAGCAGTGCATGAGGGTTCCAATTTCTCCACCTCCTCACCAACACATACTTTCTGATGTCTTGATAATAGCCAACATGGTGGTGTGAAGTGGTATCTCATTGTGGTTTCGATTTCCATTTTTTAATGACTAATGATGTTGCGCATCTTTTCATGTGCTTATTGGCAATTTGTATGACTTCTTTGGAGAAATATCTACAGGTCCCTGAATTATGACAGGGTTCCATTCTGATGACTCTGTTGTAAGTTGGTTCAGACGTAAGTCGAATACCTCATTTTTTTTTAGTTTTCATTATTATTGCCTTTTATTATCAGTATCTTTATAAATCTGATCTTTATTTGTTTTGGTGGATTGGAAACATTACATATAAACTTACAGATATATTTTAACATTGTATGTAGTACATATTATTAACAATAGATGTACCAAAACAATGGTTATAAGTCTGGTTTGTTGTAACATGAATACGTTGTAAGTCGGGGACTACCTGTATTCAAGTTCTTTGTCCATTTTTTAATTGGGTGGTTTGTTCTTTTGCTGCTGGGTTGTAGTTCTTTATGTATTCTGAATATTAAACTCTTACAGATAAGTCCTTTCATATTTTTGATGCTATTGTAAATGGTGTTGTTTTTACAATTTTAATTTTATTGTTCAATGCTAGTATATAGAAATACAATTGATTTTTTTCTATTTTCTTGAATCTGCAATCTCTCTTAAGTTACTTATTAGTTTTAATAGCTATTTTGTAGATGCCGTTGGATTTTCATAGATGATCATGTTATCTTTTAATTAAGGTAGTTTTACATGTTCCTTTTTAATATGGATGCCTTCTATTTCTTTTTCTTGCCTTATTGCCCTGGCTAGAATCTCCATACAAAGTGTAACAGAAGTGGTGAGAGTAGACATCCTGGTTTTGTTCCTAAACTTAGGAGGGAGAGCATTCAGTCTTCCATTATTAAGTTTTATATAACCCGCCGAATTTTTGTAGATGCCTTTGATAAGGATAAGGAAGTCCTCTTCTTAGATTTCATAAGAAATTGATATTGGAGTATGCATCTATTTAGATGATTATGGGT